TTGTGATTATATCGTATATCTCTACTATTCTATTTATGTATTTCATAATTGCACTCGTTAGAATTTTTATTAAAAGTAACACTCGAGAGGAAATGAGACGGAAAATCGAGACCTATGTTATTCTGCTATAAAAACAGCCACAGACTCGACATCACATCACCAGCCCTTTTACGTCCCCACTGCAGGAGCTCAGGCCTTCCTAATGGATGGTTAAGGAGGATGGGCCATGACCCTCCACGCTGGCCCAATGCGGATTGGAGGGTATTGACGACTGCAAATGCAGACGGGACCAACGGCTTAACATGCCTTCCGAAGCACGGAGTAGCTCGAGATAATAATTTTTTGGTCACCCATCCCGTGCCGCGATCGCGGGCCGCGGCGCTTATCCACTACGCCACCGAGCTACTCGATACGACATCACAGCAGAGGGACAATCAAATAAGAGCTGGTTAAAAAGAAAATTAAGGTTTTATTCTATTGAACCTCGATGCTGGCTGAGGCTGTCTTATTATTTTATCGCGATAGACTACGTCACTTTCTGGCCTCTAAACTACAGTCAATTCTCCCATTTATAACATTACAGTATGTCTGATTCCACTGCATTACTTATTTTATAAGTAATAATAACGGATGTTAGGCGTGCGTAGTGTCGTCTATTAAATTTAATTCACAAAAATTACGTCATTCTTTGCACTGGCCAAATCAATTTATCGCACTTCAACAATAGTACTGAGAGCATCATACGTCAATGATTATAGACTCAATTTTGCCTTGAACCAATGGTAAAACAGTGTGCCCTTCTGTTACCATAAAAATGAGAGCGTTTGACTAAGTTTGCCTTGTAATAGTAGATACCAATGAAACCATGCGATAATTGAAAGCAATGAACGTCAGAACACACTATAAAGTTTTACGAAAACATTACCCAGAATAATATTGCCCATTATTAGATAACATACAGCAATTATCTAATTAATTATGCAATATTCATGAAAATGTCGATATAGAAACGTTATCGTGCTTACTTCATTAAATAATACACAGGTACAATGTCAAATATCCAAATTAAGAAATAATAATAAAGGATTCGATATAAGTTTTTGTAATATGAGAATTGAATGAATCACTCATTTAATACCTAACAACAATAGGGATGACGACTGGGTAAAAAAAAGGCAATTCTATTTAGTCCGTCGATCAGATATTAGAAAAATATTAGATACGTATTTTTTTTTTACTTCTATTTAACAAGAAATAGCTTAGATATCAGGCATTGAAGTTGAGGAGTGGGGGCTCGCTACGTCACAGTTTAGTATAAAACGTACCATAACATGACGTCATGCGAAATTTCAACTTCATGTAACGCCGTTATGTTATGATTACGAAAAAATTAAAAAATACGTGTATAATATTTTTAACACTCTACCTGACGGACAAACAAACAAAAATTAGTCGTCATCCCTAATAAGTTGAATAATCTAACTCTTATGTGGTGGATTTACGACATGATATTTTTTTTTTCAAATACTTGGGATTAGGAAGACCTTATATTTAATTAATTACCATACATATTAATTCTTCGTAATATACAACTCAAACTACTGAGATTAGGAAATTGAATGAAAAGAGGGAGGGAGGAGGGAGGAGGGATTGCCTACTACGCATTCCTACCTTCTGCTGGAGAAACCGCCCGTGCATCGAACGGCTCTACCCTGACTGACTGAAGCCCTTTGTGGTATCTCTCAACCGTGAGGGTTCTCACTGGTCGGTCGGCTTTGCGAGTACGTTAATATGCCCGAATACCAATGCCAACCGAGAGGTAGGTTCCCGCACTTTGACCTGTCCAGTAAACATACCACAGGGTAGATCCGTTAGCGGGGAAGAGTGATAGTGCGTAACGCATTTTTCCTAAGTCAAGCAATAATAAAAAAGGGGCTCGGAAGTTTGTGTAACTTAAAAGTTTGAAAACATATTTTTATTTAATATAAAAAGGGTAAATGCAAATTTATTTCCTCAATCACTTCCTCAAAGGTTAAAATGCAGGCAACAATTCAGAAGAAGTCTGTGGTTAAACTTGCAATGTATACACAAAGTTACGTTTTTACAATTTTTATTCCGATATTTAGTCGTGTATCAATGGGACTCGTGTACTGTAATGTATGGGACAGTAAAGCGAGCCTGGAATTATTTATTTATTTATATCTTATTAGTAGTGAGAGATTTTGCAATCTTATTATGTCAAGACTTGAATGATTCATGACGTCTTCTAAGATAGCAGACTATTTATAGAATATCATTACTATATTTAGATATTATCATAATATTTCGACTTATTAGCGAAATTTGTAATCTTAAGTTCTGTTGAAAGTTTACCCATTTAAAGTCTAGTTTAAAGTTTTTGTCGGATAATCCGAGTTGCTGATGCGAAGGAAAAAAATTTTGCTAAATACTGCCAGTTTAGTTAAAACGATCAGAGTGCCGACTCACATGTTTTGCCGGAGCCTTGGGTCTGACGCATGACGCAACGGACCAGTGACTAATCAAATGAGATAAGGAATGTAATTACAATTATTTTATTTATGTCTGTAACTCAAAGATACTGCAGTATGTAGAAACATATATAACAGGGTTTTATTATATCAGTACCTACTATGTAATCTTATCACACAATTAGAACAATGATAGATATACGTGAATGCCAACAATGAATAACATTATAGGAAAATGGAAAGCCTCAAGGATGATGAAGACATAAAAAATTCGATCATACGTAAAAAATTGAAAACAATAAGACTATATGTAATACGACGCTTCACTTGTGACTGAGGTTCTCACATTCGCTAGCCAAATCCACGTCGCAGTATGATACAATAGTACTGAAAGGATAGAAACCAAACATACAGATCATTGAACGCATACAGGTATTGTTTGCATGCCTGCTTAATATAAGGCAAAAATATAGTTGAGCATGAAACCGATATAACAACTTTGGTGACACATTATATGATCAAATAAATGTTTGATATGATTTGTTCACAAAAACAAGCATGTGTGCCTGCCATTTGTTTTCTCAGCAACAATATTGACGCTCCCTTGATACATTGTGATATGTACTTTATTTATAAGGCATTAAAATTATAACGAATATTTTTTTATTATAACAAATACCAAGTTCTTTTTAAAGCCAATGCCAACGTCTTAAAACTATAAAATTAATTTTAATCAAATATTATTATGCATTAAAGTAAATACACAGCCAAGACACCCTTGCTCATCAACCATAGTCAATGCAAGTTTGACAGTTGAGTTGTTGCATTATTTTGTGATATTTATTTTTTTTAGAAAAGTTAGTGAAAATTTGAAATATTTTTTTTTTTTGGGCATAATTTGGGAGAGAAAAAGTAAAGCTCAATAAAAATGCATCATATTAAAGAAATATCATTAAACTATAAAGATACAAAGTACTAATGGAAATTTTAAAGTTACCATTGCCTAAGTTTAAAACCCATATTAAGAGTTGTCTACTCAGTAAAGGATATTATACTGTTAATGAATATTTAAACAACAAAACTGCTTGGTGTTATATATTGTTTATTGGTGAGCTTCTTTGACTACACATGTGGTTTGATAGACGAAAATACTGTTTTACTCTTATATTGTGTAATATTGTAATGGAAAGTGACTTCATATTGTAATGAAGCCATTTTTCAATCTTAACGCTCTGTATGAAATAAAACAGGGAGAAAAAAGCAACCCTTGCTGAGTTTCTTGCCGGTTCTTCTCGGTACAAGGTCTCCCGCCATAGATTTACGAACCAATGGCGGATCTCTCGACTTTCACAAGTGCTTGTAACAGACTAGACTGAATAAATAAATTTGATTTTGAATTTTTTTAATGAATAAAAAAAAACAGAGAACTATGAAATTGTAATCAAAACAAAAATCTCCAAAACATGGGTGCAGGTAATATGGAATGTAGTAGGTACTTTCTAACCTAAATTTCTGTATTACATTTTAAATTCTACAAATATTTATTAATCAACCTAACATCATAACTTAATAAGATTATTTTACAGTTCAAATAATTACAGTAAATGAGAATCTCTCTGATTGGTGATTGATTCAAAAACTTTTACAAAGAAATAGCATACAAATAAGTTGTCATTAATAATGAGAAAGCTTGGTCACATTACCTAGTATTTTGGTGTAATCAAAATGTTATTGAAAATATCACAAAGTTAGAGGTAAAATTCAATCTCTTTTATGGGCATTGTTACATGTGGTTTAATTGTAATAAATTGAGGAATCACAGATATGTACTTAAGACTTGATCCTTATAAAAATAGTTAGTAAAAGAATATTATATATTCTGCGCAGAACAACATTAAAAGAACAAAATAATGCATAACAGTTAAAAATGAAAATGTTATAAGTACAATAATTATGTTTAAAAAAAAAAATTTTGATTCTGTTCAATGTCGCAATAATAACAGATTAGGATTATAAAATATTTATATTAAATATGTTACTAATGTCAGGTGTGGTTAGTTTGTGTAATGCTGTTAGCATTTATTATTCCAGTAATATATATTTTCCACAGCAATTTATTACTGAAAACAAGATCATTTTCTCTTTCAGTAATTGGAGAGGATTCCTATTATTTTCGACTTACTATCAATAATAATTAAGAAACAATAAATAGCACAACATTTAAGTTTCAACATTTCCTACAATATCAAGAGGAGACCATTAAAAAGGATGATAACAAGGCTCATACATGCTATAGTAAACAATGACATGACACATATTTAACTACATTATATGGTTGATGACATAATTTATTATTTTTGCTTTATATTGAAAAGGCTAACACTTTCTTTGTTTATGCAAGGCAACATGTAGATTACAACAACCTTATTTGTTTGACATTATGCTGGTACATTATAATAATAACCCAAAACAAATTAGGAATCAAACAATAATTGTATTTGTATTACTTACCAATTGAAATTCTCTCCGCCTGTCATATGCCCTCTTTATGGCTCTGTCCAACCACAAAGAGTGTATGTGTGGTGCATAATGCATGAAAAGTCTACTGTCTAGTGAAGCCGTGCTGTTGAAGTGCAGTGCTTGTTGACCAACATCTAAGTTCCTTGGGTTTTCCCACGGTATCGCAAGCTTATCCCGCGCATCCACCAATACCTGGATACCCCGTACAATGTTCTGATATATCACATGTTGGTACTCCCGCACCAGTTCCGGCTCAAACTTAACTTTATGTATTATCCTCATCTGTTTCAGGAATGTTGATTTTCCGCTTTCACCTGCCCCAAGTAGTAACAATTTTACCTGCCGTCTAAGAGTCTGCTTATCTTTCTCCAGTATTCTATCGATTTCTTTACTTCGATAGCGTTGTTCTATTTCTTCTGGTGATAACTTTAGTCTCAGCCAGCAAGTTAGTGCCTCGGTACAACAGGTACATGACCAGAAATCGTTGGCCATTTTGCATGATTCTCAACGCCCAAAGGAAAAATATATTTAACTGCACAACATGTTAACTAATTAGTTTATAGTAAACACGCTATTATAAAAACTACAACAATACACTGGCACCTAACATAATAAAGCAAATATTCCAACAAATCGAAAATAAGCAAGAGATACACGCACTTCACCCCTCCCAAACTCAAAATAAATGACACAGACCATTTATTTTCAAAGAGGAAAAATTCTTTTTTTTTTTTTATCATTTTTGGCTTGGATGCAGAGTCCTTTAAGCCAAAACTTTGTTTGCACTGTCTTCGGTTATTTCATTATTTAAAGTTTTTCAATTGAAGATTTTATATACTTGTATAAAGGCACAAAATATTCAAAATTTTTCAAGTAGTCTTCTAAGCGGCGGGGGACATTATTCACATTTTTACACAGTTCACAAATTTCACTCGCGAACACAAGTCTTTGCATAGAGAACTGACAGCATATAAATATCAAATGTTGAATGTCACAAACTTGGTTGTCGATATTGCAATAGGGACATTCATCTGAAGGTATTATATTTAACCTTCTAAGATGTGATGGTGTTTTATGGTGGCCAAATCTTAATCTATTCATCGTTGTGATGAAATCTCGTCTAGCATCTTTCAGCTTACTGTACCACGGCTTTGACGGTATCTCTTCTTGTATGCTTCCGTACCATTTGCCTTTCACTTCTTGATCTTTCTTCCAATAATTTTTCCATATTATGTACATTTCCTTTCGTATTTCAGGATAGTAATCAGTAAAGGGTACATTCGTAACAGAGCTTACATCTAAAGAGTTTATCCCTTCACGTGCAGTCTTATCAGCTACTTCATTGCCTGATATGCCTTTATGCGAAGGAATCCACATAAAGGAAACTCTTATACCTTTTTGTAGTAAGTTATATACAAGTTCTCTTATATTAAGTAAAATATAATTAGTCTTAAAATGTAGAGTATGGTTATTTAAACTTTTAATTAGACTAAGAGAATCTGTTAAGATCAAAAAATTCTTAAAATTATGTACAGAATAAATACGCTTAAGTGCCTCAAAGACTGCATATGTCTCTGCAGTAAATATGCTACAACTATTATTAAGAACAAAGCTTTGAGAAAATTTTATTTGAGGGTCATAAACAGCACTACAAACTTTAGCATCTACTTTACTGCCATCTGTATAAAGTGTATAAAATTTATTTACATTTAAGAATGCTAACAGATCCTGGTTATTGAGTATTTCTGTTTCAAATATTGAAATTTCATTTAATTGAATTGAAAGTGTTTTTGAATAAATAGGCCATAAACATTGCTTATGTATGTACTTATATTTATTTAACAGATCAAAAAGAATATGTGGCAACTTTGGAAATTTATCATTAAGCAAGTCAGATTCTGCAGTTAATGGTGTCTGAGAAGACAAAGGAAAAGGTAAGATTTTTTTGATTATATGTTCATTATTTGAAGATATTAGTTTGATACAAAATCTTTGTATGAGTTCTAATCTCCGTATGGAAAGTGGCATTATGACAGTCTCAACCTCCATGGCTCTAATGGGAGTAGAACACATGGCTCCTGAGATAATCCTCAAAGCTTTGTTTTGTAATATATCTAATTTATGTACATACTAGTGGACGCCCGCGACTTCGTCCGCGTGGAAGTCGGTATCCCGTGGGAGTGAGAAGTTTTCCCAGTAAAAAGTACCCTATGTGTTATTCTGATGTATAACCTATATTGCTGTAAAGTTTTATCCAAATCCGTCCAGTAGTTTTTTCGTGAAAGAGTAACAAACATCCATACATCCATACTTACAAACTTTCGCCTTTATAATATTAATAGGATTTACAATCTGCATAAGCTAAACAACTATAGTCAAAGTGACTTCTAACTATGGCTTTGTAAAGGGTAGACAATATCAAGGGATCTGCTCCCCAAGACACACCGGCGAGGCATTTGATAATGTTCATGCCTCTTAAAGCATTTTTCAAAATATATTGTATGTGTGTTACAAATGACAAATTGTTATCTATTATTACACCCAGGAATTTATGTTCATAGACTACTGGAATTGGTTGATTATCATACATAATTGCAGTGCTAGGGAAATCTTTACTAAATATCATTGACTCACTTTTGTTTGGGTTAATTTTTAATTTAAGTTTAGAATAATAAGTATATAAGTCATTAAGAGCAATATTTACATTATTAATAGCTGTATCAACATTATAATTAACACTATATATTACAATATCATCAGCAAATTGCAAAATATTTACATTGTTAGTATTTACATATTTACAAATTTCAGATGTATATATATTATATAACAAAGGTGATAATGTTGCACCTTGCATAGTACCTTTATTAGCTATTCTAGGACCTTGTAGAATATTATTATGTTTTACAAAAACAGTTCTATTGTTTAGAAATTCAAATATCCACTTGCATAATAGTCCTGGAATACCTAACCCTGACAATATTTTAGTAAGAATTTCTGGATGAACATTATCAAAAGCTCCCTGAACATCAAGGAAAGCACATGCAACACTTTTATGATTTTTTGCATTTTTCAGATCAGAAATAAGTGAAGTAAAGCTGTCTGCACAACTCCTACCTCGTCTGAAGCCATACTGAATATTTGGAATTATATTATTTGACTCTATAAAATGATCTAAACGAACTTTGACCATATTTTCAAAAATTTTCCCTAAGCAAGATGAAAGTGAAATGGGTCTGTATGAATTGGGATTATCACAAGGTTTATCAGGTTTGAGTATAGGAATAACACATTGTGTTTTCCATGAATTAGGTATTATTTGTTTTTCCCAGAGTGTATTGAGTATAACTAGAAATAATTTTTGTACATTAATGTGAAGGTTTTTTATTAAAATATAAGGAAAGTCATCAAGACCTGGAGCAGTATTTTTGCGTGATTGAAGACTCATTGAAAATTCACACCATGAATAGGAGTCTAATAAATGATTCGTTTCTTTTTTATCATTGTGAAGATCGAAGTAATAATTCAAGTTTTCTGTACTTTCATTGCTATCTGAGATTTTTTGTAGAAATGATTCAATAAACTCATCACAATAATATTTGTTACTTGTTTTAATTCTTTTAAATCTTTTAATATAATTCCAAATAGTTGAAATAGGGGTTGTTCTATTAAAGCTCTGACACAAATTTCTCCAACTATTCTTTTTTTCCTCTTTAATGGTTCTTTTTTTAATTGCATCAAGTTTTTTATATGTTATAAAGTTTGCAATAGTTGGATAACGCCTGTAGAACTTTAATGCCTCTTTTGACTTCATTACACTTTCTTTGCATTTGTCATTCCACCAGGGAGCAGGTAGCTTACTTCTGTAGTCAGACGTTTTAGTGAATTTTGGTACACATGACAATTTTAGTAAATTAAGTTTCTCACAAAATTCATTATATGAAGTAAGGGGGTCATCAGGATTGGGGTAAATATTATCAAAATAAAATTTAGAGAGTTCATTATACTTGTTCCAATCAGTTTTGCTATAAAGAAATTTATCAGTGGGTGGATTAAAATTATATTTATTTATCACAGTCGTAATCCTTGTAATTGTAGGGAAATGATAGCTGCCCATATTATCATCATGGACTGACCAGTTACATAAAGGCGTAATGCATGGACTAGCTAAACTAATATCTATAGCAGATGGATTTCGATTAGGGTAGTTAATAGTAGTGAAATTACCATCATTAAGGATACATAAATCTAAATCATCCAAAATAGTGTACAATTGCTCTCCTCGCCTTTTAGTCGATAAACAACCAAAAGCAAGATGATGAGCATTAAAATCTCCTGACACAAAAACAGGTGAAGGCAGACTTTGTAGAATGTCATGTAGATAGTCAGGTCTAAAATGTGGTGAAGGAGGACAGTAAATACACAAAATAGTAAGATCGCCAGACGAGGTAGATAAAGACAAAGCTATAGTCTGAATGTCTTCATAGAAAATTGTGGGTAAAAGTTTATATTTAAAGAATGGTTTTATTAAGATAGCTACACCACCGTGCTCGTTTGAAGCATTTTTATAATAAATATTATAACCAGGTATATTACAAGGTCTACCTTCTTTCAACCAAGTTTCATTTAATAGACAGATGTCTATATTATTTTCTCGTAAAAAATTTATTAAAAGAGGTACTTTATTATAGATACTTTGAATATTATACTGGGCAATCCTTAATGTGGAAATATCATTTGGGTTACAGTTATCCATAGCTAAGTTAAATTTTTAATTAACATTTCTTTAATTGACAATGAAGTAATTGGAATATCGTCCCCTTTATTAGCTATCGCAACAAGTGTTCGAACTATGGCATTTGTGATTTCAGTATTATTAATTAATTGATTCTTTAGTTCATCTAACGAAAACTTTTTTTGTGGGACAGATTTTACATTGAGAATATTACTTGTACTCTTTGGTATCAAAGTCGGAGATTGAGTAATATAATTATTTTTATTTGCATTTCGTAGAGCTGGAAAATTCTCATCATAAGTTTTTTCTTTTGAGGTGGTAAGAGTAGTGGCGTAAGTAACTTTATTCTTTTTTTCTTGGTTCTTTTTCATTTTAATAGGACATAAATTTGATATTGCTAAGTGTGGTCCACTACAGTTAACACAACAAAGTTCATTAGGCTTGTCGCATTCTTTATAAAAATGTTCGCCGGAGCAAAGACTACAGCGTTGTTTGCCATTACAAACTTTTGCCGAATGATTGAACTTAAAACAACGGTAACATTGCTGCAGAGGAGGGATGTATTCAGAAACTCTGTAGGAAAACAAGTCATACTGCACATTGTCAGGTAATGTACTAGCTAAGAATGTGATGCTAACAGTTTGTAAAGGCACCCTATCCTGACCGACTTTTTTCGTGAATCTACGCACTGCTATAATTTCAAATGTCGATGATAATTTGTAATAAAGTTCCTTATTCGATATATTGGCCGGAACATGTCTGATGACTCCAGTTTTTTCAATTTGGGCAGCCGGGATATATGCTTTCATTTTATACTTGTCTAGAAAAGCCGCGTTCATAAGGAAGTTGTTAGCCGCGTTACATTGCTTAAATATGACTGCAATTTTATTTGCATTCACACGATGAATGGCCACCACACCTTTGACGTCTGTACTAAATATATGGTTTAGAT